GAAAAATATGGGCAGACAGGGGGAAAACTTGTGGGAGATAAGGAAGAAGGAGAGAAAAATATTAAGTCAGTTTTAAAGGAGAGAGATATGACCCAAGCTTTTTTTAAATAGAAAATTTAATATCGCTCTTTGAGTCAAACAACCTTGTCTAGAAACATATTCATAATGAAGTTAACTCCAGATTTTGAATCTGTAGATAACAAGATGCCTTGCCCCAGTTAACTTACATTAAGATAGCTTGTGTCCTACAAGGCATTCCCAAATACCCCTTGACTTAGAGTGTTTATCATGCTTAAATTGATAGATTGTTTGCTACACAGTTACAAGAACAACAGTTTACAATTCTTAAGTTACAAAAATAGTTATCACTCATTAGTATTTCTATACATATCTCAAGCTATTATATGCACACTCTGTACAGTGGATGTTAACAGTGGTTAAATTTGCTTCCTTAAACAAAACAAAATGAACTAAATCACTGACAGTCAGATCCAAAATATTCAGGCACCATAATACGCTTGCACGTCCGGCACTAAATATCCCTGCCCACACAAAGTAAAGGCAGCTTCAGTACCATCCAGAGACACACGCATCCAGGTTGTAAGACCTTTATGATGGTTGGTGGAAGGGGACAGTATGATCAGTATGTTACTGCCACCAAACAGTCTTGCACTGCGCTGCAGGGCCCAACGCTCATTAATTCCTTGCAGACAACTGCTCTGTGCGCCAGGCCTGCTGCAGGCTGAAAAGCAGGTTCACACGACAAAATCTGCAGGGCAGCAGAACAAACCACCCCTCTGGTAATGACCAGAATTCCCCAGCTATCATGCCCAAATTATTGTTTTCAACACGTTTCGGTTGGATTTTGGCTTGGGTTTTATTCCTTGCCCTCTAAAGCCAAAAAAACCCCAAACAACCAAACCAACCAAATTAGATTTTTTGGCATGATCAAGGCCAACACAAACAAACATTTTGCTGGTTGCAGTGGTCCATTATTGAAGTACCTTGGTTGCACTTCCATTACTTACTCTTCCCTTTCAGAAGTAATAGTAAGCCTGGTAGTATTACTAGGGTTGTGGCATTTTGTTACACAAGCAAGTTAAAAATTTAGTTCTCCGAGATATTACTGCTAGTCTTACTTATCTCTTAACTCTTGAAGTCCAGTCCAACTGATGTTAAGCTTTACGTAGCCGCCCATCTCTGAAACAAGTCACTGATTTCAGAACATGCTGTCTGGGAACAGATAGATGTCCCACTACAGATTTGGGGGATGGGAAGAAAAGTAAACCCACAACTAGCCACCTCATCACCACAAAAAAAAGGTGGTGGTGGTGGTGGGGAAAAGGAAGCCTTAAATGCTGAATAACAAATAACACTTTTTAACATTTTATGAATCTTGAAATCCTTTGCATACTACTCCAACCACTATCCTTCCCGTCATGAGGGCACAGCACTTCAGTCAGATGGTTAAAGACCTCAACAGTTCAAACCAAGCACTTAAGAGATTCAGCGCTTAAATGGTTAGCTTTATACACCACACGCCAAAAAGCCCAGAGTCATGTTTGCAATGTACGCCTACAAAAAAATTTATTCACTCACAGAACTTCAAGGACAATTTGGAGCAAAGTCAATAAGGCATGTATGTAAGTCTGCCAACATAAGGTTGCAAAATATAAACAGCACAATGTTAGTATCAAGGTCATGCACACATCAGAAGTGCATTAAGAACTTCAAAGTCACACCACACAGGAAAACGCTATGCTTGTCTGCACAAAAGATTAAGAATCAAGCAACTGTCCCCTAAATATCAAGATGAGTAAACAAATTATGAATGAGCGTCTACAGGCTTTTCCCCACACCAGGAATTCAAGAGTAAGTGTCAGGTACTACATCTTTTAGTAAAAGAACTTCCCTTTAAATCTCTCCAAACGGATATTTGACGGTTAGATCTTTGAGTTTGTTTGGTGGCTTTATTCATTCATTTACTTTTAAAGCATATTAAAAATATAAATAATTCTGTTCTCCAGGTCAGAATGGCCAAATAGCCAACATTTTTATGCATTTAAGTGTTCCATATTAATTTGCCTTAAGTTATAATTTTGAAATTTTACAGTTATTCTATACAGAATACATGACATTTTGTTTTTCAATTGTGCCACTACAGTACAGCATTTGGACCACTGTTTTAAGAGATAACTAACAGAGCTTCCATTTTAAAGTGCAACAGGTTTTGGTACAGGAATTGCTACAAAGAATTCAAGTGAAAAGAATTACACTAGAAATAAATCCCTTGAAAGACAACACTACAATGCCACTATATATGTGTTTGATAGTGTTTGAAGATTATGGGGAAGTTACAAGTGAAATCACTTCAGAAGCCCTTCAGAAACCATCTTACAGACAGGAAAACAAACCAGGAAAACAATTCTTCAAGCTGACCTTCTGGAGAGAATTTGTACTTACTGATTTACAGCAAACTGGAAGGCTTGCGTTTTTCATTTTAAAAATAAAGATAAAAATAAAAGTGAAATAATTACAGGTCTGTCACTTGGATCTAATCTCATAGCTTGTTTACAAAGTTATACAAGTTAATACTGGCTGCCCTTGCTCCCTTAGCACGTTTCCAAGCTCAGCCACAGAAATTAAGTCTAAGTTAAGTATTCAAACAGATGCCGACCTGTTTATCTGATGGGCTGTTACATAAAAATCAGTAGTTAAATTCAAATACTTGCCCTGTTTGGTTTGTAATATGGTGATAGTTTTGCAAGGACATATTAGCATATGCGGAACCTTAAGCCTTTGATTCTCCTGTAACTGACTTAATTTGAGGATTCATCAATAGGATCTTTACACCACCCTTCATTTTTTAAGATGAGAACTCTTAGTCATTCAAGTAAGCCTACTACGAATTGATGGTGTTAAAGTTTACATCTATTAGATATCCCAGATGACAGACATTAAGAGTTGTATATTCCCCCTTCCACCACATACATGGTAAGAATTATTCCACTCTTAATTCTTTATTTTAAATTAGCCAATACCAAGTATTTAATGCAATGTAAAACCCACAGATTTAAGTATGTATTTTACTCAGCATGTCTGCCAAACTTTAAAAGGTCAGTGAGTCTCAACACTGTGTAACAGGGTAACCTCCCCCCACCATGCTTATGCAAGCAGCATTCACTACTCTCACCAAATAATATTATCATTGTGCCATTCCAGTTATTTTAATTACCTTTTATCCTTTGAAGAATAATTTGTTTTAAATTGATATAAATAGCTGCCTAGAGCTGTTTTCTTCTTTTTCTACTTAAAAAAACCCCAACAAACCCCAAACAAAAAACCCCAGCACTCTAGGTGTAAATACTTACACCTAGAAGAAAAATAATCCGTATCACTTGCTGGCTGACTTCAGATCTGACACAATTTAAGCCAGAATTCTCTCTCTACTCTCCAACATAAACAAATCTTTCTACAACAGATTACAGAAGAGTTTAACTCTCTGCTTCCAGCCAGCTCCCCTCTATCTTGGTCTTTAGTTATCACCTGTATCTTTTCAGACTATCAGCCACAGGACTGAACCTCATCTATACCCTAGGAAGATCAGTCAATTGTGAACTAGTTTCCCTCATGACTGTAAACTGTAATAAAGAATATTTACTTTTAAGGGCCCAGATTAAAGAATAATTTTCAAAACAAAGCTACAGTAAGTCGTTAGAATTGACCGGTCCAGTTCCAGAAGCTCTCCAAAGCCAAAAGCTGACATCTTCATCTTATCAACGATTATACGAAACTGGCAGTTTAGGTTCCAAAATTCTTCATAGATGTTCAGAATAAGTGCTTATAGCAATTCAAATGAGGGTGGGGAGGTGAGGTGTTGTACAGTTACTTCATTTCTTTTAAATCAGTCTTACAAAATCAATATTCTTTCACCCACCCAACTAGGTCTACCTAAGGAAGGCCGCTAAAGAAAAGAGCAATATACATGTGTATCTTCACTGAAGTACTGGAGCACAAGAGATTGTTAGTTGCAAGAAGTTACTCAGCAGCCTTTTTCCTTAGTGTTTATTGCTAATTCATTTTATATAGCTTATTTTCAGGAGATGGACAGCATAAAAAACGCAACATCTATTTTAAAAAATATATTACTCATTACAATGCAACAGTCTCATAGTATCTTCTTACAGCTGCATTTTATCTAATTCAGAAATAAAACAATCGTGATCTAGTTAAAATTTTTTTACCTAACCCTTAGAACAGTCAGCCTTGAGAAGTCAGGCAACTTTGGACACCAAATTTATAGTCACCATGTTTGATGATAACCCCGGAAATTCTCACTGTGCAAACTACCCTACTGAAACTATTCAATAGCTTTGTTATAAGTCAGTCTCATGATTACATCAGCATTTACTCTTACAGAATTGCTTTATTCTCCCTTATATAACTTTGATGTGAACTGTGAGTGCTCTGGAGATTCGGATAACTACTGCGTTGCTTACTGAGTCAGCACACTAAATATACACACCAACATATTAACACTTACAAGTAGTTTAGATACACTGTATATTAAAACAATAAAAATTATGAAAATTTACATCAAGCTGCCCAAACCCATGCTCAGTTTCCCACCTAGTTCAAACTGCACTATGTTGATTTTAACAGCTGTACTCAAAAGTTTCATAAAAACCAAAATAGAATGACACCACCAAAGTTTTTACCCATTCATCTTCTACCATCTTCAATTTTTCCTTTGTCAGTAATGATTCTGGGGCTTCGTTTTTGTTTTGTTTTTAAATGCAACTTTAAATCTAATAACATACATTCTCCTTATAACATCCCAGAGGTAGCAGGAGGGAACATGAAAAGATGCCAGATTCTAGAAATTGCACATTCAAGTATAGTGTCATCCAAGAGAGCTTTCCTGGCTTTCACAGACTGCATGTCACCTCTAATCATGTATAACAAAAGAAAATTAGAATCCCAAAATAAAGAACTATCGCCACTGGTTTACTAATAGAAGTTTCACACCCAGATACCTCAAAGTAATCTTGTTACTTCAGTAGTAATACTGCCAGTTTCAATAGTCAAATACCGAGAACTGAAGTATAAACTTAAAGTTTACGAGTACCAATATTTCTAAAATGCTCATTAGTGACACGTTTCACCTAAACACAGACATACACACGGTAACTCTAAGTTGATGTACCACACTGTAAAGAAAGGTCCCAATTCAGTTCAAGAATCTGATATTCCCCCTCTCCCTCCCACCACACAACTTGACAGAGTGCTTACAGTAATAAAAAGCAAACGGAAGGGGAAAACACAACATTTAACAAGTGCATCTATATACATTTTGCACCTTTTCCCTCCTTGCATCTAAAGTGAACAGGTCACCATGTTCATTATGCTTTACACACACATACTCTCCCCTTCATGTAGTACCAGTCCTATTCAAAGGATCTCTGCAAGCATCAACAGCAGTTATTCCACACTAACCAACAGGTGCTTTTATTGCGGAGGCTGAAGTACATTTAAATATTCTGACTGGCCCAGCTGGTAGGTTGTGTTTCCTCCACAGTCCACATACTGGTATCTCTCCTGGGATATTTGCTCAGAGTGGCCAAAGTAAGAGGTTGTCACTGTCACTCTTAAAAAGACAAAACAGAAGAGAGATTTGTTTTGCAAGGGACTTAAATTCCCTAATGATCAGTGTTCCTATGTTACTAGGGTTTGTAACGAAAAAGTTTTGGAACAAAATATGTAATATTACTGACAGTTTTAAATAAAAGTTAAAACAATACTAGTTTACTACGACAGATTTTCTCCAAAGACATTTTCTTTCCTAAGCATAGACTTTTTCCTAAAGAAAATGGTAAAGCTGAGGTTTACTCATTAATACCTTGCTTTGCAAGTAGAAAGCAAATGATGATTAGAGAAGCTACAGCCACGGTCAGTCTACACTTCTCCCTTGCACTCCCAACCCCCCACATTGCTATTTATGCTATCAGTCACGAAAAGCAGACTCTGGCAGAGTACCAGGAGCCTGTAACCACTTCAAGATCACAAAGATGTCAGCAATTTTTGAACAGTGGCTGATACACAAACTCATTTCAAGTATTTCAGACCTTAGTAGCTCCATGGCTACAGCCCAACCGCAGAGCAGATACAGTAATAACAGTTCTGCCTATTCAAGTGTCTTTATGCTACCAGAACCCGTTGAAAGATACAGTTAAGCTTCAAAGCGATGAAGCTACTATACTAGAAAGAAAGTTGACTCCAGGATTAAGTATTGCAGAGTAATATTTCAATGAGAATTACATGGCTTCCAAAGTTGTTTCCAACAAATAGGATGTTTCCATACTTACTGCATCATCACTACTATGTTATGCACTTTGATAGATTCTAAAGTACAGAAGTCACTGCAAAAAAGAAAAACAACCATTAGATTTGCATCAAGCTTTTACAGGTAATTATCTAAAAAAGCAAGAATTGTGGCTTCAACTGGAAATTCTGCTATCTGTGTATATAGAGACTATAGAGTTGCTAGCAATGGCAACTAAAATACTTATTCAGAAACACTGCCTGTGACCATAGACTCACCCAAGTCTACTTTTATATATACATAGTGTTGCTTTCACATGAACTATATTCACATATGCTTGCTTACATGTAACGTTTAGCAACAAGCGTCCTGTGTGACAGTTGTCACTCCATCTTTCAGAAGGTAACCAAAGTTAACCTGAACTACATTAAAGCATATCAGTGACAAAGCGGTATTGACAAAGACACTTACTATCAAGGGATACAGAAATAACTTGCTGCAATTTCACTTCATGTTATCAAATTTATATACAGAAAGGAAAATTTACAAGAGATCAATGTTTTGCCAACTTCAGCATCTTTTCATGTAAAATCAGCAATTTCTATCAATAAAAGATCTTGAGGGTTTGTTATCCTCGCTCAAAAAATATCAAGAACTTAAGAAAGTCCCTTTTTTTCTTGCACTCCTACTTCTGTATTATGCAAAGTGACCTTTATCCAATGTGCAGAGACTCTGAAGTTATTGTCAGCATTGTTTTCTTGCAAGATATGTTTTCAGACTTATTTTCTGACACGCACCTACATACTAGTTCTACAGAGTACTATGTAAGTGTATATTTTTTTTCCCCTCCTACTTAAAACAATTGTTTTCAGTCACAAATTTATCAGCTCTGGAATGAAAGGCATGTGATCAGTGCAACAAGGTTGCATGACAGCCACCCACAATATTTGCATGCCATTGTCATTCTTTTCCCCAGCACCAACAAACATATGATGAAGTATTAAACAATGAATGAACACAGGTGATCCAAATTATATGAAAATACAAATAAAACAGTTCAGTATTAAAAGTTGTTTTATATTGGTATCTATAGTAATGACAAATATCTTTATTTTTTTTCCTGCTAGGCTTAAAACAGGATTTAGTTAGACCATAATGCCAGATATTCTCAGTTACTGTAGTTTTCTAATCTAAAATATAGAAAAACCTGTAACATGTTATAAAGCCCGCTCATCTACAACAGCATATAATGGCTGAGAAGCAGAGAGGTACAACACTAATGTACTGGTCCAGATTTTCTGTAAATAAACCTGTTTTTTTAAAACAAACACATAAACCAACCAACCAAAGAAAACCCAACCCACAAAAAACCAAACATACCACAAAAGGTAGCTAGGAAACTACATGGAAGGTTAACTCCACATTGAGCCAGCTCTCTAAAATAAACAGATGGAAAAGCCCTGTACGATGTCAATATCATCATAGAGGTCTGCTGAATCCAGATGACTGCATGCAGACACTTCAGGTCTCTAAGACCTCCTGCATTCAACCTAAGCTGATTTTACAGGACTCTCCAGGATGCAAACAACTAGCTAGCTACGGCTAACAAGACCTAAATTGACTAGCTGGGGAAACACTGAAATGTGATCCCCTGTATAACCCCCAATACTATCTGTATTACAAAGATTATCTCAGGGCTTTCACTGGAAAGTTAAGTATTTGTGCATGGAGAAAAAACCCAAACAGTAACAAACACAAAAGCCCATGTTGGCTGGGCATTCAAACTAAGGAAGCTCACTTGCTGTCTCCAGGGTTGTTCCATACAGCAAACCCAGGCTTTCAAGAGCCACAATACAGTACAAGAGCGGAAACCCATCATTGACAATAACTGTCAACACGTCAGGGAGGTCACCTAATACCAACTCTACAACATACAGAAAATCTGGAGAAAACGAACAGCTATAGTTTTGTGTGTGGCTCAAATTCCATTTCACACATTTTAAACGCATCACAACAAAGCTAGTAAGTGCTACTCACAAGCACTAGGACCTTGCTTTATGAGCCTATACAAGAACCGAGATCCTTAACTGACACAAGCTTCCATAGTTATGGGTCTCTTACTATCAGTTATAGCCCATGCTTAGTGTCACTGTGCTGAAGCAAGGAATATTTTCACATGCATACAAATCACCTATTAGTCTGCTTTTCCAGTAATGTTCACAAACACTTGTTGTCCTGAAGGAGGACAAGTCCACATTACAGACTACTGGCACTGACACATGACAGTTTCTCTGCCTCTGCTCCAAGAGTGCACAATCTACCTCTGAGCTGGATCAGCAAGCGCTCCACACGATTGCCAAGGCTGCAGCTGTCAAGCAGAAGAGCCTGAAATCCATTCAGTTCAGGCCACAGGCAGAACTCCTTTTACCTGTTCTCTCTACACATTCAAAGCGATCTAGGTTTTTCTAAGGTTAGTCACCAGCTTGCAGTTAAAAGTTGCAGCTATTGTTGGGAACAGACTCTCAACAGCATTACTGAACTTAAGGCCCCAGTGCTGACCATGACAGAAGTTTCAATGCATTATTGTACCAAAAGCACAACTAGGTAGGTATTAGCGTGAGTTCTACGAAGGCCAGATTATTTATTCCTCATGCATTCAAAAGGTGAGCAGATTCACAGGATCTGGTGTTCACATAAACCTAACTTACATGCTCTTAAGACATAACAGGAGCACAATGCCTTCTGCTTATTAAAAGTTAGCACCCAGTTTGCTATTTCATACCTATTTCAATTTATCCCAATGCTTCAAAGCTATACTGTTCTCTCCCACCCCAAAGGCGCTGGCATCCACTGAACTGCAAGCAGCCCTGAAGTCTCAATAGTTAACTCCTTCTGCTCAGTCTGCGTTTTAGTGTAAAAGAACTAACATTTGGTTTTGTTACCAAGATATACTGAGCTAATAGTCTGTTGGTCAAATGAACTTTCAGAAACTATGAAAAAAACTGCTTAAAGGACAGGCTGTGAACACTGCTTACCATTGTATACACATGGTCTGAAGAAAAGAAATACAAACAAGCCTCTAATTTGTATAGAATTAAATACCCTCTACTGCCAGAGAAATCTGTGGGAAAGTTACCAGAGAACTTGTTAGGGGAACAAACCTGCACTTTCACCCCCCAAAGCACCAGGTCCCCACTATTGCCAAGGCATAAAATACTGGGACAGAGATGCTGTTCAAAGTGCTGAGAGCCAGGTACAACAAGCCACTATATGAAACTCTTGACACAAGCGTGGTTTAACTATTTTTCAGTACTATTACACTCACACAAAGAAAATGCCACATCTCTACCAATACATTTCTGCTGACTTTGAAAAAAGTAATTTTTAGCACCACTGTAATTTTTAGTAAGATCCATGTGATATTTAGAGGTAAGTACACTTACAACATGTAGCTCATTTCATCTTGTATGACTGTGGGCACCATATAGTCAATCTAAAAAAAAAAAAAAACCAAACCACAAATGAAAACCCCAATGAAAACACAAATGAGTAGATTTATATATGAAGATTAACAAATATTCAGCTTTGAAAGCCTATCCTATTTACCTGTTTCATATCCAGAGGACCAATGTTGGTGATGTTGTTTAGCCGTGCTTTGCCAATAACTGTTTTTGAAAACTGAACTTGGGCTGTGATATTTGCCACTTCAACAGAGTAATAGTTGTTGTTCGTTATATTTAGTGTGTTCTGAAAAAAAACAAAACACAACAAACTCAACCACAAAACAGTAACAGCTATCCATTCTGTCTATCGTGATGAGCACGCATTTTTAAAAACTGTGCCTGAGACAGTGATACCTGAAATTATGCAAGTATGTCTTCCTGCCTTCTAGGATTGGGGGGGAGGGATGTAAGGGACCATCAGTTAACCCCCTTCTCATTTTTTTTTTTTTTAATATATTGAGCAGCGCACACTTCTGCACAACTTCCCTGGTGACCATCCTCCACTGCAAATACCGCATTTCTTCCTATCCTCAATCATTCCTTCCAGGAAATTCAGCTATCACAGGACCCTTTTCTCCCATGGCTGCTTTGCTTTATTTGAAATGAGGAACTCTACCAAAGGTCTTTATGCAATCCTGTACTGACTGCATTACCAAGAAGCATGTGGAAAGAACTCCTTTACGTTTAAAGGTGGATAAGAAATTATTTTTCCTCAAAACCAATTTTGACAGATGCCTAATACCAGGACAGTATATAACAACATTCCTACATACACACACTGCATTTCACTCATATTCAAAAAATAATGCAGAGAACTGCAAAGTCATTGTTCCCATGAAAACAGAAGACCCAATGGTAGCTCACAACAACACCTCTTAGCTAGAGCTACAGGAACCAGCTAAAGCAGGTCCAGTTACATTTTTCAAACTGGTTATTGTATCTTCTTGTATTTCTTAAGGCACTAAGTTTACCAAGTAGGCACAATTTCTATGCATATTAACCCGTCACAGTAGTATCTCTTGTTGTGTTTATCCATTATAAACATCCAAACAGATAGCTAGACTTACCGTAATATTTAGATATATTATACGTCTACCCTGTTCGTAAGTGACATATACTGATTTCACACCGATGTATTCAACGTCGATTGAGCGAGGAAACAAGAAGAATACAGCCAGCCCGGAAAGTAGTAAACATACAATTACAGAAGCAGTCACATAGAGCTTTCTGGAGAAAAAAAGAGCACATTTCAGAGTCAAAAGGACATTAAACAATAGTGGCACGTTATTTGCTTTTAAGTGATAAGGAGCATGACTAGTCAATACAACCAGTTCAGTCTATTTCTAGCTTCCAAAGGGGCAAAAAAGACCCAACTATGCTGTACTACACTTTTATGTCTCAGAGATGTTACTCTTGTATATACATCAGAAATCAAGTTTCAAAACACGGTTATCACAACATTTGTAACTTAAAGAGGAAAATGGAAGAGGTAAATATTTATGTGCTTTGAAAATAAGCACTTCCTCTTAGAATTTATTTATAGCAGAACTTTTGTTATTCTGTAGGACTCTTGCAACACACACCCAGAAAGAATAAAGCTCTTACAGAGTTTACACAAGAGTCTTTGTTATATGAGACTTTCAGGGAAAGTGTTAGATCCCTGCTAAGGAACAAGAAATTCACAGTTAACCTAATATAAAAGAGGTGCGTATGTATAATAATAAAAAAAAAGCACAAATAAAAGGCTCTATTGCAGCTCCAATTTTCTCAAAATTAGAACACTAAAGTAATATGTTCAAATTTGTACTACTATTACATCAGATATACAATCCAGGATAGTATTATGTGAACTTACTGTATTTTTTCCCTGACATTCATTTCTGTTTACTACAGAAACATCCAAACATTAAGGAAAGAAAACCAACAAAAAGTGTCAGAAAAGAATCCCTGAGCACTGTAATTAAACCTTTAAGCAGATCCTAGAAAAAAAAAGCTACATTAGAACGATGAATTTGTTGATTTTTGCTAGCTGCTCGGAGCTCTACAGATGAATTTCTAGATGACTATTTTGTAGTAGTGGCCCACTCTCTTTACTCAGACTTTAACAGTAAAGATGTATCTGCTTAGATCAATTAAGATGCTACAGAATGACAAATACTTGCGTAATTACTGTAGATATTCAGATAAATACCTACATGAAGAGATCATACAGTATTACTTAGCTTCATAGGACATAATGTAATGGGAGTATGCAGACCTGTTAATAAATAACTCCAAGAGTCAGAGGTTAAGGCTGATATTACTCATTACTCAGTTCTTTCAATATTGAACACAAGAAAACATTCCAGTGATTTTTGCTTGGTTCCTTTTAAAACTCTATCTCCTTTAAATTGCTGAATTTTAACTAGAAGAGAAGAACTAACTGCAGATTCATGTATCACAACTATTAACTTACGTTCTTCTTGGCCTCAGTCTCTGATCACTGTATGGAATTAACGCTACCAGCTGATTTTCCTGCCCTGGAAACAAAAAAACCCTTTCAGAACTTAAACAAACAAAGAATAAGTATTGTTGCAGCTACTTCAAACAAAGACTGCCTGTTATAACTTAATGGCACCAAAGAATAAACACTGAAGATAAACTTATAAATTCCAGATAGTGACCCAATTAGAACACTACTGTAGCTTATGTCACCTTCTGAAATAGAGCATGACTTACACAACACCAAGAGGAAAAAACAGCAAGCCCACAAAGACCAAAACAGCAACAAGTTCTGCCTCTGCTGCATACATGCACAGGAGGCGGCATGCCTCTGGCACCACTTCCTCAAGAGAAATGGAGGTACATAACAGCTTCCAGCTCTCTATGCCAAACTATATAAAGTCATAGGAAAAAAACCACTCAAAAGCTCAGGCAGTAAGAACTGATCCAGAAGACATTCTACATGTATCCTTCTTAAAAGTAGAAATCAGGTTTGTTTAAAAACTCATAGATTTTGGGTGGCTTTGGTAACACAAGTTATACATACACTGCATTCTGGAAATCACTGGTATATACAACCATTTCTCTTGTGACTGAGCTGCAGCACCCTGGAAGCCAAGAAAAGTATTTACTGGAACTTTTCCAAACAACAAATTACTTCATTAGACAGCATTTTTAAAAGAGGGAGATCTTAACAGTAGAAATAAAAGACAAGCACGGATAAGCTGTTGAAAACACACAGACTACATCTGCCTTTATAGCTTTTGCTATACAAGAAAATGGATTCATCCATATGAGAACAGAGAGGCCTCAAGACCAAGTCAGATTTGCATTTTTTAAGTCAAGTGCATAATTTGACCAGCATTATCACTTAGCTAATCAACCACTTCGAAGCGATTCCATGCTGAACCGCTAAGCTAAACAAAGCACGCTAACTAAGCAGGTAGTAGGATATAACATCAACCTTCTAAAAACCTCTACCAATTTGAAACAGATTTTTATCTCAACTTTGATGAAGCATCTTCAACCTTTGAACAAAACAGCACAGTCCTACTCTCATACTTAATCATACTGAAAAGCTAAAGCTGTCCAAGTAACAAAACACATTTTCATGTGTTTATTATACAGTTTAGCCATTGTATCATGTGTTACAGTCTTCCCTACTAGTCATGCAGTTATTCTAGTAACACTTCACTCTTCCCCTCTCCCCTCCAAAAACCCCAAACATGATTTCTTTTTTTCTAAAGTACTGAAGAAGAACAAATAGGTCTATCTTTTTAATTTTAGTAACTTACGTAAAGTTCTAGCTTTAATCAGATTATTTTGTTACAATGTGTGGACAACATGTATTTTTAATAGTTACTGCAAAATGTTTAATAAACCAATTAACTCACATCTGTCTAAATATTACATCCAAGAATGCTATAGTCAAAGAAATAAGCTTTTGAACATAGGAATCCCACTATTACCGGATCTTAGCTAGCAATATTTTGAGTAAAACTTGCCACTGATATTATCAAGTCAGCAAGCTAATAGAACAAACTTCCTTGTCTATAGTCTTTTGGTTAAAATAATTTTTAGTTGCACAGCTTTTACACATTCCAGATTTGCTGAATTCAGACGTACTCAAAGAATACATTATAGTACAAAGTTTAACAGCTAAAACACAAATCTCTTCTGATATTTGCAACCATTTGAATATCCTATGTCCCCTGTCACTTAATCACAAGCGAGACAGAAGTATTTGTGAACTATACCAGAACCTAATCTGACTGAAGCACATGTACAAGGAAAATATGGCACAGACGTCAGTCAATTTTCCTGAGCTGCCGGTCAAAATCAGTTCCAAGAGCTTTTATGCCCAATAATTTATTTCTGGTAAAAGTTCTGGCAAAAGCAAAGCAGTCCCAAACATAAAACCTTCTCATCAGTTCCTCCCCACTGTCAAAGGGAAGATCTTACAGCTGAAGCAGAAGGCTGCGCCTCGGCACACTGCATTTGCCACTCTCTCCTTTTGCTGAGTTTCAGGTATCCTGCATTCTTCCTCTCAGAGGTCTGTTCCTAAATAGCTATTCAGGTGGCTTATCACATAGGAGAGAAGTGTAACAAAGCAGAATGTTTTATTAGAAGAAAAGCAAAAGCAAAGGATGAGGGCAGCAAGCAGACACAATGGTCAGGCACAAAGAACTAATGTTGCGCAGTGTGCTCCTTCCCAAGGCAGCCACAGATCCTACATATTTCTGCTCCCAGATGGGGTCCTCTGCCTAGCAGGGACAGATGGGACCAAAGACAAGGTAAAGGAAATAGAGGGGTACAGGCAGCAGCAAGGGCAAGCAAATTCACTATAAATGAGGAAAAAGGTGTTGTAGCACAGGTCTACTTTTCACTTTCCGCAGCTATTTTTGCAAAGTTATATATTGATTCAAATAGTTTAAAACAGGTAGTTAAAAAAAAAGATGCAGTAAAATGTCACAAAAATAAAGGCTTGCAAATTCAACTTGCAAGAGAGCTTTAAATTCACATGTAACCCTCTAAGAAGCAAGGAACACTGGCATTGTACAAACAGGAGAAGACCCAACAGTTAACAGCCAAAGCTGACTCAATTTTGTTTCGTTCATCCCAGTGTAATCATAACAAAAGGCTTAGTGCTAAGAAGTCAAACAGCTGAAAAAAACTTCATCTTGACTAGGAGAGCTATTTGTTATGGATTATTACAGTAACAACTGCACGTGGTTATTAGGTAAATTTATGGGTTAAAAAAAGAAATAAAGAAAACTTACCTCGTGGAATTCTTCCTGTTCCCTGGCAAGTCGGGCAGGTGACACTGTCTCTTCCTGTAAATTCCACGTAAGGAAACTGCGATACATCTCCACATCTCCCATCTTCATTGTGCGACTCCGAGTGTACTAACCCATTCCTCATATTATCAGACACCGTGCCTCCATCATAACCATCTTCCTTGCATGTATGCATAGGCAGGTGAGAAAGTGATTTTCCCATGTCTAAAATAAGTCAGAAGAAAGGTTTCAGGGAGAAAGATTCAAACATGCTTTGCATTTATTCCTCCACATTGGGTAACTATTAGTCTACAGTCATTAACCCAACAAGACTCCTGTTGCCCTCTGTTAAGACCTGCAAAGAAATACAAATCTCCAGGTGTTTAAAATGATGATTCTCTTTAACCCAAAAGAGGACCGATTCATAGGAAAGTCAAGGAAAAAAATGGGAGCTATTTTAACATAGCTGTGGGCAATACGTAGCATTTATAAAGGCTTGTTAAAAAGTATTAATCACAAAAGCACTTTTGCTACCTATGCAAATTTTACCACAGTTTTTCAGCCATGATACTGAAACTACCTTGAAATACAAAACACTTGAAACTAAAGGCTGTAATGAAGTGATGCAAGTGGAAACCTTCCTAATTTGCAACAGGTGGAAAACAAAATCAAAGTTAAAAAAATAAATCTGTACAGCAGTGGCAATCAGTTGTCCAGCTTACCCCCATAACCCATTTTAGCTACTTAACACACAGAGACACCGGCCACTCAATTCACCAGTGTCTTGGGGAACAGAACGATTTTAAAAGAGTATGCAAAACTTCAGTTTTTCCATTGTAAGTGGCATTTTTAAAGCAGCTGCTAGTAATTATCATGCCAGTCACTGAAAAAGGAAGCCTTAAGAGGAAGATTAAGAGAGCAAAACAAGGCAGAATTAATTTAAACCAACCACTCAGAACACAAAGATCTTAAATACAGTGACAGTAACATAAGCACAACATTAATTGATTACATGGCCATGAAGGCTAGGTGAATGTGTGTGGGGGAATACAAATGCCAGCAAGTCCCAGTTACTGTTTCAGCAAATATGCAGCACTATTTTATTCATTTAAGTCATTAAACCCTTACAAGAAGGAAAACTATTTGTCCTTATGCTGCTTCAGCACTTTTTAAATGTTCTAAGTTTGGGAGCCATTCAGTAATGGAAACTGTTGAATTGAAAAGTAGAACTATTGAAAAAAAAAATTCTGAAAAAGCTGTTGACAATGTTGATGATTACTCCACATGGGGTTTTTGCTTACTGTTCTCCTTGTAGCTGACCTCCAGCCTTTAAGCTATGAAACTCGAGTCTTGCAGCTTAGGCAATAGCTGTCACAGACGCAGGTCTGAACGCTTAGGGATCAGTCCCTGGTGGTGTTGTGCTACAACTGTATTCAACTTACCTGCTCTACTGATGGTAGACCTAGGCTATGTCTACATTAACAAGTAAATACAGAACAAGCAGCAACTCTCTACGAACAGTTCTTGAGAATCCAACAACCATACTATGCATGTTTTTGTGTGTTTATTTCATACTAGCTCGTCTAGACTGACAACACCCACTCACAAATGAAGCGCACCTTCTAGTTTTAGCTTCTTTCAAAAGGAAGAGAGTTCATGCACTCCCAAATCACACTGTGACGTGAACCAAAGTGCAGCAAGCAAGGATGACTGGGAACTCATTTCAAGAGCACACCTTTTATTTGAATTAAAATACTAATGCAGATGTATCCTCCAAAGCCAACTGTACCTGTTGCTCTACTGCCAGAGACTTAGGAGAGACAAGTCTCGGCTCACAAATGAGAAAAGAGACAACCACCTTCAAGTGAAATGCATTCCTCTAACAATACTTCCCCCCTAGCCAAATACAGCTGACCAAAACTCAAGAACATTTTGTTCTTTTACCCAGCACTTATATGCTGAATTCTCAGTAGTTCTGAGAATTTATCATCTTTACATGTGTCAGCCTCTACACTGTCACGAAAATCACAAACCCTACTTCCTTAACAGCTGTGCTTTGACCCAGTTTCTCCCTCATAACTGATGTACATACTCTGGTCTCCTTGGACTTGTCTGGAGTTCTCTTGAATTCACAGTCTATTAGAAAGTGTTTGGTAAATTAAAAAATGTTGTGATAAGCAGCTTTTGTTTAAGACTACGCCCTTCAGTTTGCTATGGCACTGCAGCATGATAGTACGTAGACAAAGCCCCGTGTCCCAGGCACACAGAACCACCACATCCGGAGTTACATGCAAGACTGGGGGAAAAAGCGATTTATTTATAAACTCAGTGAAACTTTATAGAGTTGAAGTAGATTGTTATACTTCTCCAAAGAGTTAGGGTAGCATTCATACCCCTTATACGCAAATATATAAGCTTGAGGCTACAAACCTACTTCTTTGTCAAAACAGCAAGAGATTTTGAATAGCAACCATCTTCTGCCCTGTCAGCTGTGTCTTAACCACGAACATCACAAGCTGCCCCAAACCAGAGGATTCAGCAGGGGAAGGCAATGACTTAGCAGCCGCAAACTTGCTAAGTGCAGGCAGCCAGCTCCAGCGCTGCCTTTCACCACCTCTTCAGAGACCCACCTCTTAGACACAGCCCGCTCGGTAAGGCCGGCGCTGCCAAAAACGCAGGAGTCAAGAACCTCCCCGAGATTTACGGATCTCCTCGGAGAGAAGAGAGGAGGCTCTCGCAAACATGGCGAAGTTTGCAGCCGTCGGACGCAGCCCGAGGCCCGGCGAGCTCGGCCGCTGCCGGGCTGCCCCG